GGGCGGATGTGTGCTGGGCCACATCCCCATTGAGTTCCTGATGAAGGCTCTTAGGGTCCCATTGATCTTGTACAATTCTAGGCATTCCAGTATCCAGCTGTGGGGCATTGAGTCATAGGCCTTCTTGTAATCAATCCAGGCAGTGCACAGGTTGGTCAGTCTGGTCTTGCAGTCTCGGCTGATTGTTCTGTCTACCAGTAGCTGGTGTTTTGCACCTCTGGTATTCTTGCCAATTCCTTTCTGTGTCCCGCTCATGTATTGACCCATGTGCCTGTTCATCTTAGCCGATATGATGCCTGACAGGAGCTTCCATGTAGTACTGAGGCAGGTTATTGGTCGGTAGTTGGAGGGGACCGGTCCCTTCTTGGGGTCCTTGGGGATCAGGACCGTCCGGCCTTCAGTTAGCCATTCCGGGTGTCTCTCGTTAACTAGCAGCTGGTTCATTTGTGCTGCCAGACGCTCGTGGAGTGCAGTCAGCTTCTTCAGCCAGTAGGCGTGAACCATGTCGGGCCCTGGTGCTGTCCAACTCTTCATACTGGAGACCCTTTCTTGGATATCTGCCACTGTGATGGTTACTGGACCCTGTTCAGGGAGGTCGCTGTGGTCTGCCCTCAGATCCACTAGCCACTGAGCATTGCGTCCTTCTCCCATATGCTCTTCCAGTATTGCTCCGTCTCCAGCCTTGGTGGTGCTGTTCTCTTATTGTTCCCTTGCCACTGAGAGTACACCTTTGCTGGTTCTGTGGAGAACAGCTGGTTTATTCTCCTGCCTTCTATCTCTCTGGTGTACCTCCTCAAGCGGCTGGCCAAGGCTGTGAGTCTTTGCTTGGCAGTTTCCAAGGCCTCAGGTATGGACAGCTTGCTGTATTTCTTAGGCACCTTATTTGTCGCACCTTTCTGCAACTCTGTTAGTTGGCTAACCTCCCTCCGTGCTACTTTGATCTTGCCCTCTAGCCTCCTTCTCCATGGAGGGTACTGCCCCTTGTCGCTGTTCAACTTGTAGCCAAGCATCTCACTGATCACTGCTGCCATATTGTAGATCAGCTTGTTAGTGTCGGTAATCGTGGTTGTAGGTATTGCCCGTAGTACTGCATTAACATCATCTAGCAGACCTTCTGAGGGTACTTCACGTAATCTTGGTAACCGGCTACGGTTTCAAGCTTGGCCATGATCCTATTTTTCAGGTCAGTTCCTCTCGCACTCAACGATCCTTCTCCTATCGCACTTGGGGCTATGTACCCAATCTCGGGTGGGGGTGATGATATCTCCCCCCTGACCTGGCGTCCTGACTCCTCCTTGCCGTAGCATTTGTGTTGTACCTCGTCAATCTCTAGCTGTGAGAGCAGTCCCTTCTTTCGAATGTTGGAACACTGAGCTACTAGTTGTTTCGCCGTCATTGTGGATGTTGGGTATCGAAGAATCCATAGGTCCCTCATCCTATTCATGTAGCCCCTTCCGCCGGGGTTACTTGCGTAGTAGCATTCCAACAACGCCCTGTTTTCGTCCCTTGCCCACTGATGCCTTCTTGTTCCAGTAGCCCACTTTTCGTCAGGGTGCCCTGGTTCCTCAACACCTGACGCGGACCTTGTTGATCCGGGCGACGTCCGAGCCGGCATGCCTTCATATTTATCTGTCTCGCTCATGTCTGCGGTAGGCTTGCTTAGCATAGGGGGTCTAGCCTTAGGACCCTTACTGGATACAGACGCCCCAGGCAGGAATCGAACTTGCGATCCTCTGTTCCAAAGGAGTGTAGTTTAACCACTACGCTATCCAGCTGCTATATATATATATATATATATATATATTTATTATCATGATTATCATGATTATTATTGTTTGAGTTCTACGTGTTATATTCGGTCTGCCTCTGAGTCTGCGTCTGTATCTGTCTGTCTATGGCAGGGCTGCCCAATCCCAGTCCTTGAGAGCTACTATCCTGCAGCTTTTAGATGCATCCCTACTCCAACACAGCTGAATCAAATGGTTTGATTACCTCTTCAGCATGCCATCGTGTTTGGCAAAGGCCTGATAACAAACCATTCATTTGATTCGGGTGTGTGGGAACAAGGATCCATCTAAAAGCTGCAGGACGGTAGCTCTCGAGGACCGGGATTGAGCACCCCTGGTCTATGGTGTCACCCCGTCTGTTTGTGAATCTGTCTGTTTAGTTCAATGTCTTGTCTGGTTCCATGTGTCTGAGTTTCCTGTTTTATTGTGAAGGTCTGTGTCGTATGTGAGTGGGCTCAGTTTACGTTTCCCCTGTCTCATCAGCTGTGATTTCTCCCAGGTGTGTTCCCCTCCTGTCTCTCATCCCTTGATTACTGCCATCTGTGTATTTAAGCCCTGTGTTTCTCTGTGTCAGTGTCGCGTTGTACCCTCAACTTGCTGTGTGTTTGTAATGTCCTGTCCTCCAGCACCTCGGTGTAGAGTTTTGTTTTTGTAAGTTTTATTTCGTGAATCATTCCTCCAGGAATAAAGCTGCGTTTTCAGCTTATTCCCATCTCCAAGAGTCCTGCAATTTTGGGTCCACCACTTCTGCTTGCCTGCCACACAGCCAACCATGACACTTGTGACATGATATGTACTGCTATGTGATCGATAAGCATTTAGGAAGATTATTTCCAATCTTACCAACCACTCCAAGCCATTTAGACTTTATAAAAAGAAACAAATAGTTAGTGCCTGTTAGAACCACTAAAGATCTGAGGACGACATTATAATTGAAACCTGATAACTAGAAACAGAGATTACATTTGTTTAAAAAGAATATATAATTCAACACATCCCCCTTCCTTTTCAATTATCAAAATTTGTATATCTATGAGGGAAATGTACTGGTAGTTAGAAAAGCCAGCAAAAAACATTAGCTTTCTTAATAATAAAATATTGTTGAATAGTGTGAAATATATCACTTCAATAAAGAAACTTTGAAATATCGTATAGGTACGGTAATTCATGTAGAAAAACAATTGGTTGCATTAATAGTTTTATTAGGGTGAAGAGAGTAAAAGTCTACATTCAGGGGACACCAGAGTATCTCATCTTAAATAACATATGGTTAATATTCTGTAATTTTATAAATGTTAAAAGTAGGGCCATGTGTTACCATCAATATGATGAAAATAGTGACAGTCGGGACAATCATAACATTATACAAAACAAATATACTGCCATAGCTTTCTTTATTCCCCTTGCCATCAATGGGATATTTCCAAAGCAAAAAAACAAATCCCGTCATACTGTCTGTTGAAAACTTTATCATGGTCATAGTTGTAATCCTTTGGCTTTTTTTTCTGGTGTAATTACAGTTACTAGTTTAAGAAATGCTGTCATTGAATCACATATAACAAAAATCCCAAGTACATTTTTTCAATACATTTGCATAATGAGTTTAATAAATAGATAAATATATTTGTGGGTAAATATTAAATAGATATTACACTTTTTAACTTAAATCCCAACTAAAAAAGAAAAGAAGAAGTAAACAGTAACATAAAAAAAATCCTTTCACAGTTGTAGTGTTTTTATGGGGTTTCCATGATTTACCATTTAATAGATGGTAAAGACAAAGAGTGCGACTAATAGAGGGATTACATTCATTCTGACAGAAGATGCGTGACTTGTTGTTGTCGTGGATGATATAGCTGTTGAAGGCATTTTAGTGGTTGTTGTTGCAGCTGTTGTCATGGTTGGAGCAGCTGTTGGTGGTGGTGGAGCTGCAGTTATTGTTGTTGTGGCAGCAGTTGTTGTGGTTGGAGCAACTGTTGTTGTTGTTGCTGTTGTACCAGCAGTTGTAGTGGTTCGAGCAGTTGTTGTGGTTGTTGCCACGGTAGTTGTGATTGGAGCAGTTGTTGTTGTGGTTGAAGTAGCTGTTGTTGTTGTTGGAGCTGCACCTGATGTTGTTGTTGTTGCCACTGTAGTTGTGATTGGAGCAACTGTTGTCGTGGTTGTTGCCACGGTAGTTGTGATTGGAGGAGTTGTTGTTGTGGTTGAAGTAGCTGTTGTTGCTGTTGTTGTTGGAGCTGCAGCTGATGTTGTTGTAGAAGCAGTCGTTGTGGTTGGACCAACTGTTGTTGTTGTGGTTGGAGAAGCTGTTGTTGTTGGAGCAGCAGCTGATGTTGTTGTAGCAGCAGTTGTTGTGGTTGGAACAGTTGTTGTTGTAGCAACTGTTGTTGTGGTTGGTGTCAGAGTTGTTGTGGTTGGAGTAGCAGTTGTTGTGGTTGGAGCAGCGGTTGTTGTGGTTGGAGCATCTGGTGTTGTTGTTGGAGCAGCTGTTGTTGTGGTTTGAGCAGCTGTTGTAGTGGCTTGAGCAGCTGTTGTTGTGGTTGGAGCAGCTGTTGTTGTTGGTGGAGCAGCAGTTGTAGTGGTTGGAGTAACTGTTGTTGTTGTTTGAGCAGCAGTTGTTGTTTGCGCAGCAGTTGTAGTGGTTGGAGCAGCTGTTGCTGTGGTTGCAGCAGCTGTTGTTGTGGTTTGTGCCACAGTTGTTGTGGTTTGTGCCACAGTTGTTGTGGTTTGTGCCACAGTTGTTGTCGTTGGAGCAGTTGTTGTTGTGGTTTGAGCAGCTGTTGTTGTTGTTGGAGCAGCAGTTGTTGTGGTTGGAGCAACTGTTGTTGTGGTTGGAGCAGCGGTTGTAGTGGTTGGGGCATCTGGTGTTGTTGTTGGAGAAGCTGTTGTTGTGGTTTGAGCAGCAGTGGTTGGAGCAGCTGTAGTTGTTGTGGTTTGAGCAGCTGTTGTAGTGGCTTGAGCAGCTGTTGTTGTGGTTTGAGCAGCTGTTGTTGTGGTTTGAGCAGCTGTTGTTGTTTTTGGAGCAGCAGTTGTAGTGGTTGGAGCAACTGTTGTTGTGGTTTGAGATGCAGTTGTAGTGGTTGGAGCAGCTGGTGTTGTTGTTGGAGCAGCTGTTGTTGTTGTTGGAGCAACTGTTGTTGTGGTTGGAGCAGCAGTTGTAGTGGTTTGAGCAGCTGGTGTTGTTGTTGGCGCAGCTGTTGTTGTGGTTGGAGAGGCTGTGGTTGTTGTTTGAGCAGCAGTTGTTGTTGGAGCAGCAGTTGTAGTGGTTGGAGCAACTGTTGTTGTGGTTGGATCAGTTGTTGTTGTGGTTGCAGCAGCTGTTGTTGTGGTTTGTGCCACAGTTGTTGTGGTTTGTTCCACAGTTGTTGTGGTTGGAGCAACTGTTGTTGTGGTTGGAGCAGTTGTTGTTGTTGTTGGAGCAGCAGTTGTTGTGGTTGGAGCAACTGTTGTTGTTGGAGCAGCAGTTGTTGTGGTTGGAGCAGCTGTTGTTGTGGTTGCAGCAGCTGTTGTTGTGGTTGGTGCCACAGTTGTTGTGGTTTGTGCCAAAGTTGTTGTGGTTGGAGCAGCTGTTGTTGTGGTTGGAGCAGTTGTTGTTGTTGTTGGAGCAGCTGTTGTTGTGGTTGGACCGGCATTTGTTGTGGTTGGAGCAGCTGTTGTTGTGGTTGGAGCAACTGTTGTTGTGGTTGCAGCAACTGTTGTTGTTGTACGAGCAGCAGTTGTAGTGGTTTGAGCAGCTGTTGTTGTTGTTGGAGCAGCTGTTGTTGTGGGTGGTGCCACAGTTGTTGTGGTTTGTGCCACAGTTGTTGTGGTTGGAGCAGCTGTTGTTGTTGGAGCAACTGTTGTTGTGGTTGGAGCAGCTGTTGTTGTTGGAGCAACTGTTGTTGTGGTTGGAGCGGCAGTTGTTGTGGTTGGAGCGACAGTTGTTGTGGTTGGAGCAGCTGTTGTTGTGGTTGCAGCAGCTGTTGTTGTGGTTTGTGCCACAGTTGTAGTGGTTTGAGCAGCTGTTGTTGTGGTTGGAGCAGCTGTTGTTGTGGTTGGAGCAGCTGTTGTTGTGGTTGGAGCAGCAGCTGTTGTTGGAGCGGCAGTTGTTGTGATTGGAGTAGCTGTTGTTGTGGTTGGAGCGGCAGTTGTTGTGGTCGGAGCAGCAGTTGTAGTGGTTGGAGCAACTGTTGTTGTGGTTGGAGCAGTTGTTGTTGTGGTTGGAGCAGCTGTTGTTGTGGTTTGTGCCACAGTTGTTGTGGTTTGTTCCACAGTTGTTGTGGTTGGAGCAACTGTTGTTGTGGTTGAAGCAGTTGTTGTTGTTGTCGGAGCAGCAGTTGTTGTGGTTGGAGCAACTGTTGTTGTTGGAGCTTCTGTTGTTGTGGTTGGAGCAGCAGTTGTAGTGGTTGCAGCAGCTGTTGTTGTGTGTGATGCCACAGTTGTTGTGGTTTGTGCCACAGTTGTTGTGGTTGGAGCAGCTGTTGTTGTTGGAGCAACTCTTGTTGTGGTTGGAGCAGCAGTTGTAGTGGTTTGAGCAGCTGATGTTGTTGTTGGAGCAGCTGTTGTTGTGGTTGGAGCAGCTGTTGTTGTGGTTGGAGCAGCTGTGGTTGTTGTTTGAGCAGCAGTTGTTGTTGGAGCAGCAGTTGTAGTGGTTGGAGCAGCTGTTGTTGTGGTTGGAGCAACTGTTGTTGTTGTTGGAGCAGCTGTTGTTGTGGTTGGAGCAGCTGTTGTTGTTGTTGGAGCAACTGTTGTTGTTGGAGCAGCAGTTGTAGTGGTTTGAGCAGCTGGTGTTGTTGTTGGAGCAGCAGTTGTAGTGGTTTGAGCAGCTGTGGTTGTTGTTTGAGCAGCAGTTGTTGTTTGAGCAGCAGTTGTTGTTGGAGCAGCAGTTGTAGTGGTTGGAGCAACTGTTGTTGTGGTTGGAGCAGCTGTTGTGGTTGCAGCAGCTGTTGTTGTGGGTGGTGCCACAATTGTTGTGGTTTGTGCCACAGTTGTTGTGGTTGGAGCAGCTGTTGTTGTTGGAGCAACTGTTGTTGTGGTTGGAGCAGCTGTGGTTGTTGTTTGAGCAGCAGTTGTTGTTTGAGAAGCAGTTGTTGTTGGAGCAGCAGTTGTAGTTGTTGGAGCAACTGTTGTTGCGGTTGGAGCAGCTGTTGTTGTGGTTGCAGCAGCTGTTGTTGTGGGTGGTGCCACAGTTGTTGTGGTTTGTGCCACAGTTGTTGTGGTTGCAGCAGCTGTTGTTGTTGCTGGTGCCACAGTTGCTGTGGTTTGTGCCACAGTTGTTGTTGTTGGAGCAGTTGTTGTAGTTGTTGGAGCAACTGTTGTTGTTGCCACTGTAGTTGTAGTTGGGTTGGCTGTGGTTGTGCTTGGTGCTGCAGTGGTCAAGGGTGAATTACAGGTTGGTCCCGCTGTTATGGTACCAATGCTCTGCATGAACGGTAGAGATTTCAAGCTTGAGGGAGCTGCACACAGGTTCTTAGATGCACACCCGTAAGCTGGGAAAGTGTTGGTGCCGTCGGTCACTGCAGATGAAAAATTTTTATTGTCATGACATATCATATTTAAAGCATTAGTTAAGACATCTTAAAAATGAGTTTGCTGATAAGCCTTGCGACAGACTGGCGACCTGTCCAGGGTGTACCCCGCCTCTCGCCCTATGACAGCTGGGATAGGCTCCAGCGCCCCCCGCGACCCTGAAAAGGATAAGCGGAAGTGAATGGATGGATGGATGGATGGAGTTTGCTGATATCCAGTATTAAATCCTCCCAATTCTTTTATTCTTTGGGCTGAAGGAAGGACAATACTTGGTGTATAAATGCTCAATCAACAATCCTTTATTCCATACAATTCAACACTTTATGAGCACAAACCATCCGGATGGGGAGACATGCATGCAGAGGGGCACAGCAAATCTCAAAATGGTGGAGCGTTACCCAAAGCTTTTATAGCCTCTGTTGACCCCCACCTAGTCTCAAAAAGCCTAAACTTACATACCCTCTAACTCTCAGTGAGCCTGTATTATGACCTTGGCTCCCTGTCTTTCTGACATAGAGAAAGGTGGGGGTAGAACTTCTTTGGAATGTGGTCTGTCTCCTCCACTATCAGAAAACAAGGCCTTCTGCGCACAATATTCTCTTCTTAACTCAGCAGTATGACATGCAATGAAACAGTGTAAATCATTCACAGTAAATCAACAGTATAGGATAATATAGACATATCTAATAAATCTAATGATTTTCACAATTTCTTAATCCAGAGGTATAATGCAAATTAAAACTACATACTAATTATACTCTCTATAATATGGAGTAGGGTGTGGCTTACAGTAGTATAATGATTCACACAGTTCGATTATAGGGATAGGATAACATATGATAAAATAAGAATCTTACACCAGTAATATTCATTATTATGTTGGTTTAGTGCCTTTTGGTAAGTCATAAGTCATGGTAAATGGTAAAACAACTGATACATTTATTGTTGTCTTCTACTTTAATAAAGCCCCCAATTTAATTTTTCCACCAAGTCATATTTACCAGTTCAGACACACATTTACTTTTCCCTGCTCCAGTCTGTTGTCCCAAAATGTTTTAAGAGGGCCACCAGCATCCCTGTCCCAAGAAAAACTAATGTGAGCTGCCTAAATAACTATCACCCAGTAGCACTCACATCCATTGTGTGAGTGTTTTGAGCGCATAGTTAAAGCTCACATCACACCTTTACTCCCTGCTTCACTCGACCCCCTCCGTTTGCCTACAGGCCAAACAGATCTACAGACAACGCAATTGCATTCCACACTGCCCTCTCGCATTTGGACCAGAAAAACACATATGTGCGGATGCTGTTCATAGACTATAGCTCTGCCTTCAACACCATCATACCATCCAGACTCATCATGAAACTCCGTGACCTGAACATCAGCTCCTCCCTGTGCAGCTGGATCCTGGACTTCCTGACAGACAGACCTCAGGTGGTTCGGATCAGCAGCATCACCTAATCCACACTCACACTCAGCACAGATGCCTCCCAGGGATGCGTGCTTAGCCCCCTGCTTACACCCTGTTCACCCACGACTGTACACCAACACACAGCTCCAACACCATCATCAAATTTGCAGACGACACCACCATCATTGGCTGCATTTCTGATGGAGATGAGACAGCATACAGGGCAGGGGTGAGAGCCCTGACATCATGGTGCCATGACAACAACCTCCTGCTTAATGTCAGCAAAAACAAGGAGCTCATTGTGGATTACAGGAGACTACAGAGAAGAAGGCACACGCCCATTCACATTGAAGGAGCAGAGGTGGAAAGAGTCAGCTTCTTCAGATTCCTAGGCATCTACATTTGCAAGGATCTGAGTTGGTCACACCATGTTGGTGTGATCACAAAAGCAGCAAGACAGCAGCGCTTCTTCCTCCGGCGCCTGAGAAGATTTGGCATGAACTCCAGAATACTTACAAACCTCTACTGATGCACCATTGAAAGTATTCTGACCAGCTGCATCACCACCTGGTATGGCAGATGTAACGCTCCCAACCGCAAAGCTCTGCTGAGGGTGGGGAGATCAGCACAGCGCATCACCAGGACTGAGCTGCATGCTTTGCAGGATCTAAATAGATAGCCCTGCATGAAGAAGACGCAGCGGATACTCTCTGATCCCAAGCACCCCAGCCTTTTCACACTCCTGCTGTCTGGCAGATGGTTCAGAAGCATTCAGAACCGCACTAGCAGACACAGGGATAGTATTTACCCACAAGCCATCAGGCTTTTGAACTGCTGACATTCTTACACCAGCTGTCGTCATGGTGTAAGGCCAATAACCTCCTCCTCAACAAAAACCAAAGAACTCATAATAGACTTCAGAAGGAAAAAGGCGGAGACCCAACCACTATTCATTAATGGGGACTGTGTAGAAAGGGTGGCAAGCTTCCGCTTCCTGGGAGTCAACATAGAGGAGAACCTTTCCTGGAGTGCGAACACCTCCGAGCTGCTGAGAAAGGCCCAACAGAGACTGTACTTCCAGAGAATTCTCAGGAGGAATAACATCATACAGAGATTGCTGGTGTCCTTCTACAGAGCCACCATTGAGAGTGTTCTAACCTATTGCATATGCATCTGGTACACTAGCTGCACAGTGGCTCAGAGGAAAGCACTCCAAGGGATCATTAACACTGCCCAAAAGATCACTGGCTGCCCTCTCCCCACACTGGAAGATTTACACCCGCTGTCTTAAAAAAGCCCAAAACATCATAAAAGTTACCTCACATCCTGGCCACTCCCTGTTTGAACTGTTGCCCTCAGGCAGACGGTACAGAGCAATCAGTGTAAGGACTAATAGGCTCAAACAGCTTTCATCCAACTGCAATAACACGTCTGAATACTGCTACAAAAAACTGTCCATCACGCCACTCTTGTATTAATCTGTGCGCTGACTGAAGCATGTATGTGGGAATGTATGTGAATGTTTGTTGATACTTCTTATTAGTACTTTAAGCATTCTATTTATTTTATTATTGAATTTTATTGTTTTATTTATATTTTGATATTGTTAGGGTTGATGCATTGATTGGGAACTATTTTTAATTTTATTGTACCTGTGACAATGACAATAAAGATTCTGATATCTGACCATTACACACTCCCTACAATTACTAGACTTTACACACTGCCACTTTATATCCTCACTGCATACTTTTTGCACAACTCTAAATACGAAACTGTAAATTCTGAACAACTGTCTCAAATTCTGTTAATATTAATACTTTAGTTTTTTGTTATTTGTTATCTTTATTATCATTATTATTATTATTGCTGTTGTTGTGGTTATTTTCTTTTTAAATATAACTGCAGACTTATATATGTTCATATAAAGCTGAGGAGCACGAGCCAAAGAATTTCACTATGGGTAAATGTGGCTACACTGTTTATATGTACATGACAATAAAACTTGAAACTCAGACAGCAGTTTTACAGTTAGCCTTTTTTGTGCTCTTTAACTGTTGTGCGCAACACTGATAATGCATGAAGTTAATTTGATGTTCAGAATCTTTCATGTTGACATGTGAACTCTAACCAAAAATGTTATCTAATTATTTTTCAGTCAAAAGAAAATCATGAAGCTACACTGTAGATCAACTGTAGAGTTGTGGGCATTGACCATCATTATTGGTTTGCAAATGGTTAGGGAAATGCTTTGTACCTATCTTCAATATCTTTCACATAAAGAGTAATCTAAAATCTGTTTGTGTTCTGTTTGCTGAAACTCAAAATCTCACTGCAGTGACCTGAGAACACCACTAAAGGGTGTAGTTGTTTGTTTAACATTTCTAATGCCACCGGTAAACATTTTTTAATCAGAGAGAAGAACAGAGCCTGATTTTCAGTCAATTTTTATAGTGACTTTCACGTTTATGAAAACATGTAGTTACAATTTCAGAAGCCACTGATTTCCTTTTAGTGAATAGTGTTCCTACACTGGGTGATGGGAATACTTGTTAACTAATACATATATATAATTTCATGAACTAATTATCAAATCCTGACCTTCATCTTCAAAGATTTAAGGTACAAAATAAAATGTCTTACAAATACTGATGAAATGCTTCATAATGTTGCCACTGACTAATTAAAAAAAAAAAAAAAGAATAATATGTTTGTGAATTTATTTTAGGTATAAAAGCCAATTTAAAGATGATCTTTGTTAAAGTATACATGATGAAGACTCACTCGTTGATTGAAAGCATTGGTCCTCCAATCCCTGACACGGTAATGGAGTGTCGCACAGAGGGGTGGAACAAACGTTACATAGTCGGCCATTACTTGACTGAGGAGCAGGAGCTGTAAAAGAAAAGAGCATCATTTCATTTCAGAACTGAGAACATTTCAGCAAACATCAGAATATTGTTTCTTATTGTGTCTTTAATAAAACACTTATAGATTTGTACTTACCAGCCAGAGTTGCTGAGTTGCAGTTATCTGTGTTGCAGCACGTGGCAGATGCAAGAGCACTTTGAACACCCATGTTAACTGAAAATGTCTGAGAGCCCGTAACTGGACACAGGGAGGAAGATGCACATGCCTTGTAGATTTGTGTTGCCGTAGTTCCAGATGAAGTAGCTGCAAATTCAAAGTGTATTTTGTTAATGTTGATGGAAAGTACACATAATTTCAAAGTCATTGAAATTTACTGAAGTTTATCACATAAAATTTGATTTGATTTGATTTGATATACCTTTAGTCCCACAAGGGGAAATTTCATAATATGAAGAGAAGATTACCTAAAATAGTAGCTGTAACACACATGGTCTCTGAAGAACATGTAATTGGTAGTGTGCTTGAACACGTCTGATCTGTGCAGGTTTGACACTGAAGGGCTCCAGCTGCAATCAGGAGAGAAACAATAAAAGGATTGACGTTATAATGAAAGGTTTTAAAATACCCCAGTATAATTAAAGAATCTTTATCTCTTCGATTTCTTTACACTGTTACACAGATTGATGAAATGCAGTTAATCTCTTTAACATGTGTGTGCATAAATATTTTTAATAAAGTCGACGTGAAACACTACATTAAAGTTAATTTAAGGTTAATCTATTAAGGATAATTTACACCATGGAGGCCTGCTCTAAAAACCTTCCAACATTTAACAGTTTGTGAAACTATATTAAAATGTTATAATTTTTATGGCATGTGTAGAAAAGTGTGAGAAAAGTGTGAGAAAAGAATCTGACCACTAGATGCGATCACCAATATGAAATATTAAGGTGGACTTTAACTCCCAGTTATCTCTGGGTTAAACCTGTTTTCCCAATCACAAACAGTTCACGTGATAACAGGTTATGACATCCACATCACAAACTGAACAAAGTGTTAAGCCATCCATCAAGATGTCCACACTGAAAGAAATGTTCACTTTCCAGTTTTGCTCAGCATGAAGTAGAACTTATCCACTCAGTGAAATGATTTGGCGAAAGTAAAAGATTTCCACATCAGTTTGCCAAACAGATTCAGAAACAGAATTTATAAACTAAAACAAAATGTATGGCATATCTTTCTCAGAGCCTCTTGGGTTTCTTTGTTTTTAATTGGCTGTATCACGCTCATTGATCTATTTTCTCTACATATATGCTGACAGATATCTGGTTTCCTGATAATGCTTTGAGAGAAAACTTAGTTATGTTTTTGGTGTGATGCTCATGTAGTTACCTAATCTTGTAAACTGCTTGGATGTTCTTGGAAAAGGACATTTAATATCTATATAAAATAAACTTTAAGGTTTTCTTTTTCTTTTATTGTAAAATTTAGACTTTAAATGTTTAAATTAAATCCTGAATGATAAGGAAAAGAGCAGTTACCTGTGCTGGAGAGTGCCCAAAGGACAATTAGAGCAGTCAGCTTCATTGTGATGAACAGGTCAGTTCTGCAGATTAGTTTCCTTGGACTGTGATACTAAATCTCAGGAGCACTCCTACACTTTATATACTGAACAGGTGAGCTCAGGATTGGGTGTGTTTACATTTTTACAGCATGAACATTCAGACATTCATCTCCTCTATTGTCAAATCATTCTGCTAGCGCACTTTACCACACCCTGTGTTCAATTGTGCATATAAACAAAAAGGGTACGCAACAGCTTTTTAATTTCTAAATATAAATGAATGAGCACGATTTCTTATAATGCGTCACTGAGCCTTCATTTTCTCTTTTGCTATATAAATCTTTTTATTTTTTATTTTCCGTGTTTTGCATTTCTTTATTCACTAAATTAATATGAGTCCATGATTACTTGTCATAGTTGCTCATAGCGTCATATGATTGTTGAGGTTTTCTGTGTTATATTATTGTAGGGTCGATCTTACAATATAAAGTGCCTTGAGATGACTGTCGTTG